CAGGTCAGGAATAAAACTCCCTTGCCGGTAATGAAGATTCAAACCAAAGAGCAAGACAGGGGAGCCCAGCACGAGCCCAGGGGCCAAAGGAGCTGAGTCTGACTTTACAGAGGGAAGCACCACAGGAAGAGACCACATTTAGAAAACTGCTCGTGGACCCAGGAAATGGAAACTCACAACAAACAAAACAAACACAACATGACCCCCAGAAAATGGGCCAGACACAAGGAAATGACAGAGCCCAGCATCTCACCTGACCCCTGACCCCGTGGTATATAAAGGCCCCCGGCCCAGGAGGCTCCACACCTCACCACCTCCCTCTCCACCTGCGCCTCTACCTGCTCCACCCTCAACCACCAGAACCATGACCGGCTGTGGCTGCTCTGGGGGCTGTGGCTCCAGCTGTGGGGGCTGTGGCTCCAGTTGCTGCGTGCCTGTCTGCTGCTGTAAGCCCGTGTGCTGCTGTGTGCCAGCCTGTTCCTGCTCCAGCTGCAGTAAAGGAGGCTGTGGCTCCAGCTGTGGGGGCTGCAAGGGGGGCTGTGGCTCCAGCTGTGGGGGTTGCAAGGGGTGTTGTGGCTCCAGCTGTGGCTCCAAGGGGGGCTGTGGCTCCAGCTGCTGTGTGCCCGTCTGCTGCTGTAAGCCCGTGTGCTGCTGTGTGCCAGCCTGTTCCTGCTCCAGCTGCAGTAAAGGGGGCTGTGGCTCCAGCTGTGGGGGCTGCAAGGGGGGCTGTGGCTCCAGCTGCTGTGTGCCTGTATGCTGCTGCAAACCTTGCTGTGAGCCTGTCTGCTGCTGCAAACCCTGCTGCTGCCAGTCCAGCTGCTGCAAACCCTGCTGCTGCCAGTCCAGCTGCTGCAAACCCTGCTGTGCCCCCATTTGCTGCCAGTGCAAGATCTGAGGCTCTGAACTCAGACCTTCAGTCTCAGTGTTTGGGGATCCCCTGAATCAGGTCCTCCCTGCAGCACCACCACCTCCTCCTTCCCCTCATTCATGCTCAGCCCCCCTCTGTGCTCAGTGCTCCCGGCCTTCTCCATCCTCCTCCCTCAAGGGCAGTGAGTCCTGGTCACTGAAGCTGCCTGGAGGCAGGTGCCAGCTGACAACCGGGACTGCGCCCTGGCTGGTGCGTGGCCATTCCCTGCCCCTCCCAGCAGCTGAGATGCATGGACAACCCTGCACAGCCAGGGCATGTCTGAGTGATGGCCAAGGGCTGCTGGCACCTGGCTCCTCAGCCACCAGGGCCCTGGCCTGTCCTGGCCACGCCCTCTTTCCCTGCACCCCACCCGCCTTTCCTTCCTCCTTTGCTTCCACTCTTTCTGTAAAAAATAACTGAATTTCTTTTAATAAAACTTGTGTCCTTGTAGCCAACTGTATACTTGGTGCCATTCTTTCCTGGGGGTGACGCATCACTAACCTCCTCGTAGATGTGACTCAGGTCTGTCCCCTCAGCCGGGATCTATGCGGCGTGCCTGGTGCATCCCCAGGAACCACCACCGGCTTCTGTCTTCCCAGCGGCTGCCAAACCCAGCGCCCTGTCCCCTTCCTGGGGAAGAGTCCTCAACCGGAGGTGTGGGCATCGGGTGCCCGGCAGGGAGACCCCATAGGGCAGGCAGAAGGGTCCTGGGTACAACAACCCACTGTGCACCCACGTCCGCTGCCTGGGCTGTCTCCTCTCAGCAACAGCTCTGAAAAGGAATAAGGTACTGACACCTGCTACTCAGTCCAAGTCTGAAAGAACTATATCAGGTGAAGGAAGATAGTCACAGCAGACAAAGTATAACTCCATGTTTCGTTTGATAAAGTATTTTTATTTATTTCAGAGAGGAAGGAAGAGGGAGAGAGAGGTAAAAATATTCATGATGAGAGAGAATCATTGATCAGCTGCCTCCTGCATGCCCCACACTGGGGATCGAGCCCACAACTTGGGCATGTGCCCTGACCAGAAATTGAACTCTGACCTTCTAGTTCATAGGTCAACACTCAACCACTGAGCCACACACCGGCTGGCTCTTACTCCATTTTAAGAAAGTGTCTAAAAGAGGTGAACAGAGCCATAGAGTAGTGAGCATTTTCTAGGGATCAGGCGGAGAGGGAGGGACGAAGCTGCCTGCTAAGTGTGCTCAGCCTCTTTGGGGTCAGAGGGGGTGACCACGTGCCCCGGAGTCAGATGGCAGGGATGGTGGCACAGCTTGTGCAGACACTAATTGTGCGTTTACTCGTTAAAGGGCGTGTTTTACGGCATATGAATTCTACCTCAATGTTAACTTCATCTCATGGGTTTGTGTTAGGATTCACCTATGTATATATTTAGATATTTCTTAATATTAAAGAATTGTTCCTGGCCAGTGTGGCTCAGTCAGTGAGCACCCATCTATGAACCAGGAGGTCACAGTTCATTTCCTGGTCAGGGCACAGGCCAGGTTGTGCAGGAGGCAGCCGATAAATGATTTTCTCTCATCACTGATGTTTCTCTCTCTCTCTCTCTCTCTCTCTCTCGCCCTTCCTCTCCGACATCAATAAAAAAGTATTTAGAAAGAGAAAGCAAACCCTTTTACACCCAGCATGTCAGGAGCTTGGAAGGGACACTCTCATTCATGAGGCAAGAAAAAAGCTGAACAAACCCCAAAGCCACAGTTTCTCTCCCATTCACCATTCACCAGATCTGAGGCCACAGAGCACAGCACAGCTGGAAACTGGAGGGAGGGATCCGACCACACACTGCCGAGGCTCAGCCTGCACAGGTCTAGGCGTGGAAAGCTGGGGGGGAGTGGGGGGGATGGAGTACGCTTTGTTAGCGTTACCTCCAGGATCTCAGCAATCAGAGAATTCGCTGGTGCTTGTGAAATATCAGCGCATCCTCGCATCCTCGAGGCTGCCTCGGGGAAGGGAGCTCTCAGACAAGCTGCCTGCAGGGCGGTTTCTCCGGAGAGGGGATGCCAGCTCCGCCCCTCTGGCCTTCTTGAGATGCTTCAGGGACAGAGGGGCTGAGAGTCCCTTGTGAAGGTCACAGCTCCAGTCCCTTAGACGGAGACAGTGTCACAGGCCTAGAGAACACTGCTCCCCCTCACCCTCCCACCCCCGTCCTGCATGGTGCCTTCTCCCAGGCCATCCCATCCAGGTTTCAACAAAAAGTGACCAGGCTGACCACAGGCTCCAGCGGACCCTGGAGACATGGAGCAAGAACCAGAGACAGCCCTCGCCGGTTTGGCTCAGTGGATAGAGCATTGGCCTTTGGACTGAAAGGTCTCGGGTTCAATTCCGGTCGATTCTGGTCGGGGCCACATAGTTCGGGGCAGGCTTGGTCCCCAGTGGGAGGCAGCCATTCCATGTGTCCTTTCACGTGGATGTTTCTCACTCTCCGCCCTCCACTCTCTCTGAAAAGCCACAGGAAAGTGCCCTTGGGTGAGGATTAACAACAACAAAACCGAATCAGACGTGGACAGCAGGGCTGTGGGTGTGGCCATCCAGTGCTCGGGGCTCTGGCCACAGGAACAGGTGTGGTGGAGAGGTGGACGACCTGAGGCAGAAGCTGAGAGATGCCTGAGCTCAGAAAAAGGGCCACAGCGAAGACTGCCCCCAGTAGGTTCCCAGGGACTGGACGGGCTAAGGGGAGGGGTGGAGGCCGGGGGGGGGGGGGGTTGGAAGGAGGGGGAGAGGAGCTTCCACGAAGAAAGGAGAGAACACGGGGCACATCGATCGGTACGCCGTCATCAGAAGGAACAAACTTGGTCCCTTTTTGGTTGTTCCTCACTTGAGGATGGAGGTCAGCTAAGTGGCAGGTCATCACTTCACAGAATGTGTGAGGAGAGACCTTACCTTCCCCCACCTCACCCCCAAGCTTCTATGATGCTGGATCCAATTACAACCCAATAAAACCGGGGGGGGGGGGGTGCCTGGACGGCATGGTTCAGTGGTTGAGTGTTGACCTATGAACTAGGAGATTGTGGTTTGATTCCTGGTCAGGGCACAGGCCTGGATTCCGGGCTCGATCCCCAGTGTGGGGCGTGCAGGAGGCAGCTGATCAATGATTCTCTCTCATCATGAATATTTTTACCTCTCTCTCCCTCTTCCTTCCTCTCTGAAATAAATAAAAATACTTTATCAAACGAAACATGGAGTTATACTTTGTCTGCTGTGACTATCTTCCTTCACCTGATATAGTTCTTTCAGACTTGGACTGAGTAGCAGGTGTCAGTACCTTATTCCTTTTCAGAGCTGTTGCTGAGAGGAGACAGCCCAGGCAGCGGACGTGGGTGCACAGTGGGTTGTTGTACCCAGGACCCTTCTGCCTGCCCTATGGGGTCTCCCTGCCGGGCACCCGATGCCCACACCTCCGGTTGAGGACTCTTCCCCAGGAAGGGGACTGGGCGCTGGGTTTGGCAGCCGCTGGGAAGACAGAAGCCGGTGGTGGTTCCTGGGGATGCACCAGGCACGCCGCATGGATCCCGGCTGAGGGGACAGACCCGAGTCACATCTACGAGGAGGTTAGTGATGCGTCACCCCCAGGAAAGAATGGCACCAAGTATACAGTTGGCTACAGGAACACAGAAGTTTTATTAAAGGGAAATCCAGTTATTTTTTACAGAAAGAGTGGAAGCAAAGGAGGAAGGAAAGCCTCATATGGGGTGAGGGGCGGGGAAGGAAGGCGTGGCCAAGACAGGCCAGGGCCCTGGTGGCTGAGGAGCCAGGTGCCAGCAGCCCTTGGCCATCACTCAGACATGCCCTGGCTGTGTAGGGTTGTCCAAGCATCTCAGCTGCTGGGAGGGGCAGGGAATGGCCACGCACCAGCCAGGGCGCAGTCCCGGTTGTCAGCTGGCACCTGCCTCCAGGCACCTTCAGTGACCAGGACTCACTGCCCTTGAGGGAAGAGGACGGAGAAGGCCGGGAGCGCTGAGCACAGAGGGGGCAGAGCATGAATGAGGGGAAGGAGGAGGTTGAGGTGCAGCAGGGAGGACCTGATTCAAGGGATCCCCAAACACTGAGACTGAAGGTCTGGGTTCAGAGCCTCAGATCTTGCACTGGCAGCAAATGGGGGCACAGCAGGGTTTGCAGCAGCTGGACTGGCAGCAGCAGGGTTTGCAGCAGCAGACAGGCTCACAGCAGGGTTTGCAGCAGCTGGACTGGCAGCAGCAGGGTTTGCAACAGCTGGACTGGCAGCAGCAGGGTTTGCAACAGCTGGACTGGCAGCAGGGTTTGCAGCAGCAGACAGGCTCACAGCAGGGTTTGCAGCAGCAGACAGGCTCACAGCAGGGTTTGCAGCAGCAGACGGGCACACAGCAGCTGGAGCCACAGCCCCCCTTGCAGCCCCCACAGCTGGAGCCACAGCCCCCCTTGCAGCCCCCACAGCTGGAGCCACAGCCTCCCTTGCAACCACCACAGCTGGAGCCACAGCCCCCCTTGCAGCCCCCACAGCTGGAGCCACAGCCTCCTTTACTGCAGCTGGAGCAGGAACAGGCTGGCACACAGCAGCACACGGGCTTACAGCAGCAGACGGGCACACAGCAGCTGGAGCCACAGCCCCCACAGCTGGAGCCACAGCCCCCACAGCTGGAGCCACAGCCCCCGGAGCAGCCACAGCCGGTCATGGTTCTGGTGGTTGAGGGTGGAGCAGGTAGAGGCGCAGGTGGAGAGGGAGGTGATGAGGTGTGGAGCCTCCTGGGCCGGGGGCCTTTATATATGCCAGGGGCAGGGGGCAGGGGGCAGGGGGCAGTGTTCAGGGCAGATGCTGGGCTCTGTCACTTCCTTGTGTCTGGCCCATTTCCTCAGGTCATGTTTGTGTTTGTTGTCTTTTCTCCTTCGAGTTCCCATTTCCTGGGTCCATTTTTTTTTTTTTTTTTCAGTTTTCTAAATCTAGCTTCTTCCTCATGCAGGCTGAGCTCAGTCCTTCCTCCCTCAGGGTCCCTGGCAAGGGGGTCACCTGCTTTCTGTGCCGACACATGTGACCTGGCGGGACCACATGGCCAGGCTCCTGTACATCTGTGTGGGAACATGTGCTGTTGATGAAGGTGCAGAAGGTGAGACAGAGAGGCCGCCTGGTGACTTAGCCCCAATGTGGCCACAGGGCCCTGAGGTAGGGGGGCCAAGAGGTGGGACCACACCTCGGGGAAGGTGGACAGAGAGGTCGGCTTTGAACCTTACAGCCTTGAGGGTAAGGGGCCTGGGTGATTCCTCCCTCCCAGCTCCAGGGGCCAGCAGCCATGAGACTGCCTGTCTGTGGCCTGGTCTGGGCCAGGAAGACTTGGGGGCACGTCTGGGATCCAGATCTGGGGGGCTCTGTTTCTGTTGTTTTTATCACCGCATTTGTGGTAATTTGTTGAGTAAGGACAAGAACATTATAGTTTTGACACTGGAAAGCAGTGTGCTGTGATAGCAAGAACCTACAGGGTGGGGGTGGGCTGGAAACCCAGTGCGGGGATGCTGAGGGGTGTGACCGAGAGGCCTGAATCACCCAGTGAATATGGTAGGAGCGCGGGCGGGAGGCTCAGCCTGCACAGGTCTAGGCGTGGAAAGCTGGGGCCGGGGGGGGGGGGGGGGGGGCGCAAAGGGACCCCAGGGCTGAGGGTTTGCAGCAGCAGGCTGCAGGCTCCTATTGGAAACGAGAGGAAAGTTATGTTCTGGCAGAAAGGGCAGCTGAACTGTGTGTAGAATCATGAGGACAGAACCCCCATCTCAGTTTTTCAAAAAATGTAATTTTTATTGATTTCAGAGAGGAAGGAAGAGCAAGGGGGGTGGCGCGGGGGGGGACTCACGGGGAAAAGGACAACAAACACAAACACGACCTGAGGAAACAGTCCAGACACAAGGAAGTGACAGAGCCCAGCATCTCCCCTGACCCCTGCCCCCAGCGGTATATAAAGGCCCCCGGCCCAGGAGGCTCCACACCTCATCACCTCCCTCTCCACCTGCGCCTCTACCTGCTCCACCCTCAACCACCAGAACCATGACCGGCTGTGGCTGCTCTGGGGGCTGTGGCTCCAGCTGTGGGGGCTGTGGCTCCAGCTGCTGTGTGCCCGTCTGCTGCTGTAAGCCCGTGTGCTGCTGTGTGCCAGCCTGTTCCTGCTCCAGCTGCAGTAAAGGAGGCTGTGGCTCCAGCTGTGGGGGCTGCAAGGGGGCCTGTGGCTCCAGCTGTGGGGGCTGCAAGGGGGCCTGTGGCTCCAGCTGCGGGGGCTGCAAGGGGGGCTGTGGCTCCAGCTGCTGTGTGCCCGTCTGCTGCTGTAAGCCCGTGTGCTGCTGTGTGCCAGCCTGTTCCTGCTCCAGTTGCAGTAAAGGGGGCTGTGGCTCCAGCTGTGGGGGCTGCAAGGGGGGCTGTGGCTCCAGCTGTGATGGCTGCAAAGGAGGCTGTGGCTCTAACTGCTGTGTGCCCGTCTGCTGCTGCAAACCCTGCTGCTGCCAGTCCAGCTGCTGCCAACCCTGCTGCTGCCAGTCCAGCTGTTGCAAACCCTGCTGCTGCCAGTCCAGCTGCTGCAAACCCTGCTGCTGCCAGTCCAGCTGCTGCCAACCCTGCTGCTGCCAGTCCAGCTGTTGCAAACCCTGCTGCTGCCAGTCCAGCTGTTGCAAACCCTGCTGTGCCCCCGTCTGCTGCCAGTGCAAGATCTGATGTATTGCACTAAGTTCTTCCAACTGTTCCATCCAGTGAAGCTTCTGGTTTCCTCACCTCCCCTGCACATTCCCAGCTTCTGCCAACCCATTCCCCTTCTCATCCCTCACAAGAGAGGCCGTGTTCTCTGAGATATCCTGACTCAGAGGAAGAGCATATTCCAATGCTCACCACCTCCTCTCAAACGAAGTGGCCAGGCCCTGGCTGAGCTTCTCAGTGGTTAAAGCATCTTCCCACGAAGCCCAGGTTGCGTGTTCAATCCCCTGTCTGGGCACAGACGCGAACCAGCCAATGGAGGCATAAATAAGTGGAACAACGAATGGATGTTACTCTCTCTCTCTCTCTCTCTCTCTCTCTCTCTCTCTCTCTCTCGTCTCTCCTTCCTTTCTCAGAAATCAGTAAATAAAAATAAAATAAAAATAAACCAAATAGCCACCACTGTTGTTCCTGATTCTTCTAAGCACCATACCCACCACTTGTAGGCACCAACCCTATACTAAGGAGCTGCCTGTGACTGGCAGGGACAGCACCCCTGGCTCCTCAGTGAGAAAAGCACTGCCCCCTCACATCCCAGCCACTTCCTTCTCCCAAAAAAGTCAGTCCCTGGGGATCCTTTATCTCCAACAGTTTCCGTATTTGTCTGTTAAACTACAATGCCCTGCCCACACACCATGTCTGTCACTGTGAACACTTCCATGGCAGTGTGACTCTGCACGCAGTCTGCCTCCCAGGCTCATGGGTGAGGAACCCCACTGGGCCCGGCCAGCCAGCTGGCACTCCTCCAGTGCCCCCACTGCCTCCAGCCATGCATGTCCTCCACTGATGTTGGCAAGAGAATGGTCTGAGACATGGCAAAAGAGGAAGGGAGCCCTGGGCAGTGTCTGGGGTAGGGCTTGTGTCCTTTGTCTGGTACTGTCCAGCAGTGGGTCCTTCCCTTTGGGGCAGTAGGATAGTGTGCTGGGACCAGTACCTTCCTACCCTCCTTCCCTCTCCTGTCACAGAGGCGGGAAAGCACTGCCCGGACTCCCTTGCAGCTATGGGTCCAGATGCAATCAGGCTCAGTCATTCTGCTCCCGTGACATTAGGAAAACAAAATAGGCAGAAGCACGGGGGCGTCTTGGACCTTCAAGGTGACATCAGGCACACTCCATGGTCCAGCCATGGCATCAGGCCTGCCCAGGCACAGGGCCCAGAGAGCCATCCCTGGGGGTTGGCTTCTCTGTTCTGTCAGTGACCCTGAACCCCCCATCTCCATATCAAACCCACTGTGGTGAGCACAGTGAGATGGCAGAATAATGCTCCCCAAAACAACCTGCCTGAGCCCCACAACCTGTGACTCCTCCTGGTTACCTGGCCAAGGAAATTCAGGTGGCCGGTGGACTTAAGGCTGCTGACCGGCCGACTTAGGAGGGAGTCCTGAAACAGGGAAGAGGAAGCAAAGGAGTCACAACCAGAAAGATGATGGAGAGTCTTTCCACGAGAAAGACATGACCTGGGGTGGCTCGGAGGTCTGAGCCCCTGACAGCTCAAGGATGAGGTTGCCTTTTAGGGGAAGTGTGGGCTCATCTGGGCTGCATCTCAGTGGGGGTAGGCAGTCCGAAGTGCCAGTAAGACTCCCCAGAGGGGAAGCGTGGTGGCAACAGGGGGAGAGCATCTGGGGTGCAAGGTTGTAGAACCCCAACATGCTCAGCATGGGGGAGAGAGGATGGGCCAGGCCAGAGCACCACTCCTGCTAACGAGAATTTTCAACAGCTTGAAAGCATCAAATTAGTATGTCTTTGCACAGCAAAGGAAACCATCAACAAAATGAAAAAGGACCTTACTGAGTGGCTTATTGACTGGGAGAACATAATTCATCTAGAATACATCCAATAAGGAATTACCTTCCAAAATATATAAAGAACTCAAAGAACTCCACACCAAAAAACAAACTGTAGAGGGCCCCCTGGGAATGCACATGGATGACCTTTAATTATCATCAGCTGAACTTAAGGCATAGGCAAAGCCACCCCCTGGGAACACGTTTCCCCAAAATGTGGGAGACGATTTCTTATCTTAATCCATGTTCTTGGAATGAGGAACAAATAGGACCTTTACTTAATGAGGGAATGAATAGAACCTGGGCACACCCAAAACTCAATTTATTCTAAGCTTTTCAGGGAAACCTCTTTTGGAAATAAATTATTTAATAAATTATTTTTTTTGGAAATAAATAAATGCGATGTGGTGTCTGTGGTGGGTGTTGACTGTCCCTCCATCAGAGTGACAGCCCCCCACCCAGGTCCCAGCATGAATCTATTTCTGTGTCTTGGTCTCTTTTTTTCTTTAATTTCTTAATACCCAGCTCCTCCACTCAGGAACCTGTCCCTTTCCGCATGGGTCAAGGAAAACAGAGAAACAATAAACACAATAAACAAACAGAAACAAAAACAAGCACACACACAAAACACAATCCAATTAAAAAATGGGCAGAGTACCTGAATAGACACGTCTCTCAAGGGGACATACAGATGGCCAATTGACATGGGAAAAGATACTAAACATCACTAGTCATCAGAGAGATGTAATTAAAGCCACAATGAGGTATCACCTCACTCCAGTCAGAATGGCTACCATCAGCAAATCCACAAACTACAGGTGCTGGCGAGGATGTGGAGAAAAGGGAACCCTAGCGCACTGCTGGTGGGAATGCAGACTGGCACAGCCATTAAGGAAAACAGTATGGAGTTCCCTCAAAAAACAACAATGGCACTGCCTTGGGACCCATGAATGCATGTCCAGGGATAAATCCAAAGAACCCCAAAACATCGATTCAGAAGAACAAGTGCACCACTCTGCTCACTGCAGCGGTATTTACAAACAGCTGAGGCTTGGAAGCAGCCCAAGCGCCATCCATCCACGAGTGGATAAAATAGCTGTGGCTTATCTACACAACGGAATATGACTCAGCAACTATAAAATATGGAAATCTTACCTTGGCTACAGCATGGAGGGACCTGGAGAGCATTATGCTAAGTGAAATAAACCAGTCAGAGAAAGACAAGTGCCATATGATTTCACTTAAGTGTGGAATCTAAAGAACAAAATAAACTAACCAGCAAACTAGACTCATAGACACAGAGAACAGACTGACAGTTGTTGGAGGGAGGGAGGGGGAAGGTGAAGTCATTAAGCAAAAGCAAACAAACAAACAGAACTCAGAGACAACAGGATGGTGACTGCCAGAGGGAAAGGATGGTGAGAGGTAAGGAGGGTGGAGGGGATAAATGATGACCGAGGAGATTGGACTGTGGGTGTGAACACACAATATAGAGAGGCTGTATACAGAATTGTGCACTGGAAACCTGTATAATCTTATTTACCTATGTCACCCCAATAAAGTGAATCAATTTTTAAAACATGAATAAAAAATTAAAAAACCAAACTCTTAAAAAAAAAAAAAAGTGCTGCACTGTGATTAGAAAGTTAAATTAATTTTTTAAAATATATTTTATTGATTTTTTTTACAGAGAGGAAGGGAGAGGATAGAGTTAGAAACATCAATCAGCTGCCTCCTGCACACCTCCTACTGGGTATGTACCACAACCAAGATACATGCCCTTGACCGGAATCAAACCTGGGACCTTTCAGTCCGCAGGCCACTGCTCCATCCACTGAGCCAAACCAGTTTCGGCGAGAAAGTTAAATAATTTTTAAGCCCTGCCAACAAGGCTCAGTGGTCGTGTATCGACCTATGAGCCAGGAGGTCAAAATTCGATTCTCAGTTAGGGCAGATGCTCGGATGTGGGCTCCATCCCCAGTGTGGGGTATGCAGAAGGCAGATTCTCCCTCATCATGGATGTTTTTCGCTCTCTCTCCCTCTCCTCTCTTCTCTGAAATCCATAAAAGTATATATATTTTAATTAAATTAATTAAAAATAGTAAAAAAATAAAACCAGTATGAAAATGAATTAAAAGCTAACAGTTTCCTAAACAAACCCAAGAAATTGGAGCCTGGGCCCTGAGACCAAACGAGGCTCGTGTATCTCGTGCCCCTCCCTCCCTGCACACGTCCCGATGCTCCTAGGACTTGTCCTCAGTCTGGGCCTCCCTGTGGCAGGTCTCACACGAGGAGCAGAAAAAGCAGGTGAGCAGCTCCCGTGGGTGCTGGGAAGCATTAAGCAAGCAGGAGCTGAGTCTCTAATAGTGGAGACACACAGGGGAAGACATCAAACTAGAGACCAAAGAATGTGGATGCAGCCTGAGCCAGCCAGAGGACAGGGACACAGAGGAAAAACCACAGCGCAGGAGTGGCACAAACAGGAACCAGGAAGTGACTGTGCCCAGCATCTCACCTGACACCTGACCCCGTGGTATATAAAGGCCCCTGGCCCAGGAGGCTCCACACCTCACCACCTCCCTCTCCACTTGCTCCTCTACCTACTCCACCTTCAACCACCAGAACCATGACCGGCTGTGGCTGCTCTGGGGGCTGTGGCTGCTCCGGGGGCTGTGGCTCCAGCTGTGGGGGCTGTGGCTCCAGCTGCTGTGTGCCCGTCTGCTGCTGTAAGCCCGTGTGCTGCTGTGTGCCAGCCTGTTCCTGCTCCAGCTGCAGTAAAGGGGGCTGTGGCTCCAGCTGTGGGGGCTGCAAAGGGGGCTGTGGCTCCAGCTGTGGGGGCTGCAAGGGGGGCTGTGGCTCCAGCTGTGGAGGCTGCAAGGGGGGCTGTGGCTCCAGCTGCTGTGTGCCCATCTGCTGCTGCAAACCCTGCTGCTGCCAGTCCAGCTGCTGCAAACCCTGCTGCTGCCAGTCCAGCTGCTGCAAACCCTGCTGCTGCCAGTCCAGCTGCTGCAAACCCTGCTGCTGCCAGTCCAGCTGCTGCAAACCCTGCTGTGAGCCTGTCTGCTGCTGCAAACCCTGCTGCTGCCAGTCCTGCTGCTGCAAACCCTGCTGTGCCCCCGTTTGCTGCCAGTGCAAGATCTGAGGCTTGGACATGCAGCCTGGTGGTTTTGGCCATGAGTGGAGATGGTCAGGGCAGCACTCAGGTCAGGAACCTCCTCGTCATTGCTGGCCAGACTTTACCATCTGCAGGCCTTTAGAGGCTGAGCCACGAAAACCAGTCCTCAGGCACTGCATGGGGCACAGAGCCTCCCGGCTCTCCCCATTCCGGCCTCTCCCTGCTTAGTCCTTGTGCCCAGGGAACTCCAGGGATGGTGTTGATCCCAGAGCCTGGGCCCTGACCCACTGAACACCACGTCCTGCCCCTGGCATCCCCCGACACCAGCTTGCCTGATTCTTGATCTAATCAATTCCTCCCTGGACATGGGAAGCCTCTAAATGAGCAAATTCTCCTGTGACCAGCTGTCTTTCTGAGGTTCTTTCCTCTCTGCCGTTCTTGGGGGAATCCTTCCTGCACCAGAGCCCTCTGCGTGCTGCCAGGGGTGGGGCATGCGGGGAGCAGACACTTTTTACTTCGGTTGATATGGCTCAACGGTTGAGCATTGACCTATGAACCAAAAGGTCATAGTTCGATTCCCAGTCAGGGCACCTGCCCAGGTTGTGGGCTCGATCCCCAGTAGGGGCGTGCAGGAGGCAGCCAATCAATGATTCTAATCATTGATGTTTCTCTCTCTCTCTCTCTCTCTCTCTCTCTCTCTCTCTCTCTTTCTCTCTCTCTCTCCCTTCCTTTCTGAAATCAATAAAAATATGTGAAATAAAATAAAAGTGCTTCATTTTTTAAAAAATACTCAAAGCTACTACACCGAGTGAATGCTCAACCAGGAAAGAATGCCAGCTCCCACAGTAGCTCTCTCTTCCGAGGGTGGGGTGGGGAGAAAGCATTCTAACACACCCACACCCACGTCACTGCCAGCTCAGTAAGAGGTGAAGGTGGCAGCCCTGTGCCCAGTGAAGGGTCCAGCACCAGACGGCAGAGCAGACCTCGCCCAAGGAGAGCTATGTGTCAGCGCTGACCCTTGGGGCTGGCATGAGTTTTGCCTAGTGCAGACCCCTCCCTGCTGCCACCTGGATGTGCAGGAGCCCTCCTCGAACACCTGGGAAGGCAGGTGACCTACATGTAACAAATAGCAGACATGCCGAAACCTGGGAGGAAGGCTTAGGGGAGGCCCTGCGGAAACGAGGGCTTTGAATCCACCACGAACACCAGGGAATTCGAAGGCCACACGTTCCCAGCCAAGGGCGCTCAGAAATATCCGGGAAGACTCAGGCTTCTCCTCCATCCAGCTGGCAGCGTGCCCGGGGCAGGCAGGCAGTGAGCGTGGGCAGAGCTAAGGATCCAGGGAGGATCCCACAGAGCCACCTGCAAACCCGAGGGAGGATCTGTCTTTTTGTCCTCGTTCTAAGCATTTAAGAAAAGTGTTCTCAAGCCCCCGGCTGACTACTAAGCGCCAGAAACACAGATCTGAAACCACAGAGGACAAAGACTAGTCTTTCCAAAAATGGTCTAGAGACCACCGAGTGAGCAAACACCTGCTGCTCACCAAGCAGAGGAGCAGCCCTGGTGCGGGCAGAGGAGCGGGTTGACAGTCACACATTACGATATTGAGGCGTCCAGTTTTCAGCAGCAACAGAAGTGACCCCAGAAGTGGGGCTGCTGGTTCTATGGTAGCTCCACCCTGGGTTTCCTCAGGGCTCTCTGTGCTGTCCCGGCAGTGGTTGGCCACGCTGTTCCAGTCCCACCACTGGGCTCCCGTATGCCAGGTCCTCGCCATCCCTGGCCTGTCCTTCGGCGACGGCCATTCTCATGGCCTGAGGGATGCCTCTGTGTGGTTTTGATTTGCCTTTCCCTGACGACTAGTGACATTGAGCATCTGTCACTGATTTCTGACCATGTCCCAGTTCCACCGAAAAGGGAAGAAGAGTCTTTTAAACAAATGGCACTGGATATCCCGGTGCCAAGAAATGAAGATGAACCCGACTTCACAGCAAAACTGACTCCAAATAGAACAAAGACAGAACTCAGATAGTTTGAGCAATGGAACTGGAAGAAAGCGTAGTGTATTCCTAAAATAATAATAATAATAATAATAATAATAATAATATAAAAAATAATTTTAAAAAAAGAAGTGTAGTGTAGGGAGCATTTGAGATCTTGCTCCCAGGCAATTGCCATCAATTTGGCTCAAATAAACTCTTGCAAAAATTCAAAACAAAAAAACACAAAATAGTGTAAATCTTCATGGCCTTGGGTTTGGCAAGGAATTCTTAGACTTGGTTCTAAAAGCACCAGCAGCAAAGGAGAAATAGACAAGTTGGACTTTGCCAAAATAAACAATGTTTGTGTGTCCAACAACACCGCTATGAGAGCGAAAAGTGAGAAGACAACACGGGCGGAGGGAAAGCGTGTGCACATCATGCATCTGACATGGCTGTGCGTCTGGGACACATAAGAGATGCCTGCAGCTCATAGGAAAAGAGAAATAACCCAGTTTACAAACGGGGAGAGAGTTGAATAGTCTCCACAGAAGCCCCGAAATGGCTAACAAGCACAGGAAAAGGCATCCGTCACCAACAGTCTCTGAGGAAATGCATGTCGAAGCCATGAGGTGCCACGTCATACCTCTCAGGGCGGCTATTGATAATGTCCATTCCCATAAGGGGACCCACGAAACGGAGGCGGCCCCCGTGGCCCAGCCCACATCACAAACCTAAACCCCAGTCAGCCACACCAAGTCCCCCACTCAGCTTCAGCCAGTTCAGGAGCCCTAGAAACAGGACCTACTGCCTTACAAGGAAATCCCCATCTCCTGGCCATCCCCATGTTGCCTCTGCAGCTCCCTGTAATTGGGCAGGAAGAACGTGGAGATGAATGAGTGACTGCTAATGCTTATATGTTTTCTTTTGGGGATAATGCAATGTTCTATAAATAAACTGTGATGATATTTATAAATATACTGAAATCATTGAGTTATGTCATTTAAGTGTATGAGCTTTATGCTGTATAGATCATGTTGCAATAGGTGCTTAAAAATCACATTAGCAAAGCCCTAACCAGTTTGGCTAAGTGGATAGAGTGTTGGCCTGTGAACTCAAGGGTCCCAGTTTTGATTCCGGTCAAGAGCATGTACCTTGGTTGTAGGCACATCCTCGGTAGGGGTGTGCAGGAGGCAGCTGATGGGTGTTTCTCTCTCATTGATGTTTCTAACTCTCTATCCCTCTCCCTTTCTTTCTGTAAAAAAAATCAATAAAATATATATATATAGATATAGATATAGATATAGATATAGATATATAGATATATAGATATATAGATATATATATAATTAAATCACATTAGCAAAGTAAATATAGGCACTCAACCCATCAAAAATGGAGAACTACAAGGTGTGAGAGCACTTGAAATCAACCGCAGAATTCACCATAATAAGGAAATGTTCTATGATGATTTAAATGAAAAGAAAAGGCACTTAAAATATTCAACATTCATTCATGACTTTACAAAGAAAGACCCTGCAATATGGAAGTCAGTGAACACTTGCTGAATGAGACGGCACTAAAAAACATCAAAAAACGACCAAGCACCATTCTTAGTGGTGCAGTATTTTAATACTTGCCCCTGAGGTTGTGAACAACAAAAATGTTCACTCTCGTTGTTGCTACTTCTCATTGTCCTGAAGGAGCCAATGCAATAAATAATTTAAAAATTAAAGTTTTGAGGATTAGAAAAGAGGTCATCACACAGGCCCACATGACATGTAGGAACTCTGAACGGCTGCAGATGCACTAGTGGATGTATTGCTGGGGTTTGTGTGTCCAACAACACTGCTATGAGAGCGAGTCATCAATTAGAATGATGACTGATAGTCAACCACTGGGTAGGCCTACCGCTGTTAACGAGTGGATCAATCATTAATAACCTTCCAGAACAGAGAGCACCAGAGCCCATCGGGAACCCGACTAAATGTTTAAGGAAGAAGTTCACCAGCTCTCTCCGTGCTGTTTCAGAAGGTAGAAGCCAAGGGGGCACTTCCTGACTCACCCCGTGAGGCCAGCACCACCCTGATACCAAGAGCAAGCAACCACATCACAGAAAAAGAAAAGCACAGACCAGTGTCACTCATGAACAGAGATGTAAATTTTTAATTAAAAAAAAAGAGCAAAAAACATTAGTAAATCAAATCCACACAAGCATTAATAAAAGTATATGCCAGGACCAGGTGCATTTTATCCCAAATCTGCAAGGCTGGCTCAATATTCAAAATGAACGAACGTAATTCATCACTATGACAGACCAAAATGGAAAATTTCAAGACCGTGTCAACAGACCCAGCATTTGGCAAAACTCAAACCCCTTCAAGATAGAAATGCGCAGTAAGCTAGGAACAGAGGGGACTTGCTTGACTTGGTAGAGAGCATGGACAAAAGCCCACAGGTAATGTCACACATCATAGGAAACAAGATTTCCTGCAAAGGTCAGGTTCAGAGCAGGGATGTCTGCTCTCACCACTCCTTCCCAACACGTGCTGGGAGGCCTTGCCAGGACGATAAGACAAGAAAAGAAGGTGGAAGGAATACGGATTGGGGAGGAAGGAATGAAACTGTCTTTGTTCTTAAATCATATGATTGTCTATATAGGAAATTCAAAACATTCTGCAAGAAAAAATTCCTAGGACTTACAAGTGATCATAGAAAGACGGAGGGATACAAGGTTTATATACAAAAGTCAATCACTTTCCTATATTCCTGCAATGCACAAATAGAATTACACATTAAAAACACAATATCATTTACACTAGCACCCCAAAAAGTGAAAGCGTAGGTATACACTTAATTTAAAATGCCTGAGATCAGCCCTAGTCAGTTTGGCTCAGTGGATAGAGCGTCAGCCTGTGAACCAAAGTGTCCCAGGTTCGATTCTAGTCAAGGGCACGAACCTCAGTTGCAGGCTCCTTCCTAGCCAGGGTTCTGGTCCTGGCACATGCAGGAGGCAACCAATTAATGTGTTTCTCTCACATCAATGTTTTT